AAGGGATAAACAGCAAGTCAACCTGTTTTGGAGGGGATTCGTACAGATCTTACACGCACCCACACTTTGAAGTCTATCCCGCTTGACAACCTTCGTTGAAGAGCGATTCCGGGGTGTTATAGACCTCAGTATGCAGGTCAACAAATGGTGTGAGACGTCTGCGTAGCCAAGTTTGCTGAAAAACCCACATCTACACCAAGATCTTAATTAAGTGTCAGATGTTGAGTAACTCCAATTACACATATCTTCAATTACTGAAGCGTAGCCATAAAACCGAACACAAACACAGGCAACTAAAACTTACAGAGCAATATAAGCGTCCAGCTTGCTGACATAATTACTATTCACTCTCGGTCTGTTGGCTCTGGAATGCTCTCTAGAACACGGTTCTTTCCTCGTCCACTTTGGTTGTCTTTAAAAAGGATGATTGAGTATTGATATTACTCTCGGAAATTCGTTACTTAGCTACGACACTGTGGATTACCTAGGCGAGTTACTCTTGCTGGAGTAATATACCTCATGGATATTATGAAGTGGGAGATATGGGCGGTTATATTGTTGTTTTCTCAGAAACCAGGTGAAATATAACTGCTTCGCATATTGTATGCCCACCTTTTCCGCTATCGTTATTCAGTGGTATATTTGAGGGGGTAGAACCTTAGACTAATAACGCAAATATCTCTTGGCGTTACCCTTTCCCATTTCCCTCTCGTACAACACGTGTGAAACGCCTGCTATTTTACCCTTGGCAAACCATTGTTCCAGTTTGATTTGGCAGACAAAGCAACGTCCGTTTTGTTAAGTTGTATGCATGCACACGTATCCTACGACTGGACCAACGGAGTGTACTCAAGTTGATTATTACTGGAAGGAACTAACTTGACTAGCCCTCAGTCTAGTATTTACTTGCCTACATCACCGTTGGGGATACGCCTACATAGACGACATCCTTCAGGAGTAGGCGCTCAAAGCCTTTAATGCACTTCAGGTCCTCAGGCTGAAGTGGACAAATCTCACTTCAGTGGAGGAGTACAGCACTCGCTTTGATCCTGCATACGCGGCCACAAATGTCGCAGAATAATGGCATTACTAGATTCATAAATGTACAAAATCGCTACTGCGGTTGCAACCGCATCGTTAGTTCATTGGTTATCCATTGCCGAATTGTGTAACTACCTCAGACTTTGTATTGTCAAAAGTTTGGTGAATCAATAACAGCACTTTATACTTCGAAACCACCATAAGTATTTCGAAAAAGGAACCGGTTCGGAAATCTTATCCGGAACTGTATGCAGCGTCATGAGCATTTCAGGCAACAATAGGACTTCGCCCGTATAATCCAGGTCAACCAGTGGAACACTGGTTAATATCTCTAAGTGTGCGTCATGCGATTTCATAGGGGAAATATTCATGCGAAAGCTCACGAAACTGTTGATCAGAAAGTCATAGACCCTGGTGGAATCCGAAGTAATCGAGTTCCGGGTACTGAAATACTCGTGTGTCCGATGGATCATTTAATCGGACAAATAGCTTGAAGATGCAGTTAATAACGGAGTCGGGGATGAAAATTACATTTTATCCGTGCTACCGATGACTTTTCTCGCATGCGCCACGAAGTGAAGATCTAGTCCATGCGGTATCGTCCAGGTCGGAAACAAGACTACTCTTCCCTCGTCTGAGATATTTTTCTCGAAATGTGTTTATGCGTGTAATGTCATTCTGATTATTCCGAATTCGTTTCCTAGGCAACTCCCTTCCTAGTATAATTTTTCGAACAGGAGACTCAGGGATTTGCGGAAGTCCTCACATAAAGTCTTTTATGATGTGGGTGCGAAGACATATTTGCAGGCAACACGGAAACAACTGCGCGCTGCAATCAGGTTTTGAACCACAGCTCCGGACTCAGTCCTACACTAGCTGAGCAACGTCCAGCCAAACGAACATCTTCTGGAATTACTTTTTTCAACCCACCCAACGGCCTTCGCTGTCACGGATTTGAGCGCCACGACAATATCGCGTTAAATGCGCGTGTTCCATAGTAAGCTGCAATCAGAACGGCGTATCCACACTAACGGAAGCTTATGGCGATTGAAAGCTGGTGGAGTACGCCGAATTCTCCTCCTCCTCATCGTCATCATCAACCACTACAGCTGTAATACATTAACCATTTGAACTGACGCTTCAATGTTGGACAACCAGAACAACCAACAGGAGGAAAATTAATAAGACGGAGCGAAGCGTGACTTAACACAACATTTCAATGCACTAATCAAACCTTTGGAGTCAAAATATCTATGCCTTTTCAACCGCATGCCATCTCAAGTAGCTGGCTATCGTGATATGATAAGGAGGTATCAGCGAGACAGCTTCCCTTGCGGCTTTCACTACCCGCGTCAAAATCAGCCTTTAACACCAGATAACTCAGCACCGAACACACTTTAAACAGGTAGTCCGACTAGCAGACGACAACAGACACGTCACTGGTGCGGACAGCAATCTATGTCCTGCAAAGTCTCAAACCACGCATAAGGCGGGTCACATGGACCTCAGCCTGGAAATCGAGACGGACCAACGGCACTCAGTTGTGTAGTTAACGACTATTTGCTGTTGATAAGTTAACTTTTGCTAAACTCGAAGCTTGTGCTACCCTACATCTGGCAAACAAAATAGAGCCCACATGCGTAAGGGATGAGCGGACATACATAGTACGTGCCCAAACCAAAACCAATTTCTCACAAACTGTGTTATTCTACAGCTAAACAAAATCTTTAGGTTGGCGTCCGGAAGCAATGTACTCTGACATTGCACGTGCGTGCTTAGTTTGGCCTGAACTTTTCACCAAGCGGGGATCTTGAGAAGTCCGAGCATTATACCTGCTCATTTATGTCCCATCGTTAAGTGGGATATGTTAAAATAGAGAGTGATTCGTTAGTACTAGATCTGTGGTTGGTGGAGACTAGGCGGAAGCACATACTAACGCTACCTAGCGCTCCTACGTGCGTTAAGCTTGGTTGAGGTTGCCAAGTGGGTAGAGCAAAGACGATTGTGTACGTGCATCCAGTCAACCGACAGGGATAAAATCCTGAGTTGAAGGACGATGACAACGCCGACTCTACCTATGGTTGGCTGTTAATCATTTACGAGAGCTTACAAACATTGCTGCCAAAATGGGCTGGATGTGATCAGCTGGACAGCAATATGAAGGGCACGTAGTTCAGTTCCACAATCAGGCTATTCGGTGGGCATGCAACTGCAATCTGTTGGCCTATGAGTCTTAAAGTATGCTTGCTGAGTGACGCTAGCGGAACTAGGTAAAGCGGTCTGACAATGGATTTTTGATAACAAGGGATTACTACGTGCTGTGAAAATATGCCTCTGTAGACAGAACTATAACCATACAGCGAATGCCGTCACTTATTAAAGGAACGTTGGTACTGATGATCGGGATGGGTGTATGAAACATAACCAGACGAAAATAGAAATCATCAGCGCGAACATGCCGCTCACATGACTAATTTGAAACTAATGCTAAAACCAGCAGACAGACAAGCAACCCCAAAAGGATCCTAGCATCCAACCTACCATTGTCAGATGACTAACACGACACAGTCAGTGTCTTGATTTGAGGTGTCTTAAATATTCACTGGAGATGCTTCTTACCAGACATAGGATTGATCCGAGTGAATAAAACATCAGCACTGGTGGACCGCTTGTTAGAGCAAGACGCATTTATGAGGAATAAATAGGTAGGTGACTAGGTGGAAATTATGCGCTACCCACTCAATGGCACTGCACTGTGGGCAGCACCCAATTTCCATCTGCATCCACCACAGTCAGAGTGATCGAAATGACCAAAGTTCCATTCAGTGCGAATTACGATCCAGATAGAGATTACACATCATATTCCAGTCACATAATATGTACTTCAAAATGACTCTCCAAGCATGTGAGTATCCCGATGTTACCCCACTACATCTTAAGCGGCATGCCAGCAGGAGTTAAGCCTGATCCGCAAAAGGCGAATCTCCTGGCATTTACTTACACTGATGCTGGCCCGTGGCCTTAGGAACCACAAGCTTGCCTCGTAATTTGAGGTCTCGGGTTTGAGCCTGCATAGGAGACCAAACAACCCTTACCGTATCTGGTGGTGGTTCAGCGGCAGCGAAACCTCGGTACTGCGTAGCGGCGTGCTGCTGTTGCTTTCCGTTTACGCATATAGGGTGTCAGTCTGGCTGACGAACATCGTGATCCAGATGATCGGTGTAAAGGTGGATGTTCGCACTGTGCTAAACTAAACTAGATGATGCTCACTGCAGGCATTGTTTTCCCCACCTATAATTAACTCACTGGTCCAATCCGTATGTATCCTCTGCGCTGGTATCAACAGCACTATCTCGCTTGGCTAAACCATAGAGCCAACCGTCAGTCAATGATGCAAAGGGGTGAAAGGTGAGTGCATTGAATTGATGCGTATAACCGAAATGTGTAGATTAAAGTTGCAATCATCATTGTCATTCAGTATTGATGTGAGGCAATTCATCCTAAATCAAGCGAAGTACCTTACCGTATGTATTCTCTACTACAGTGCAAAAGCAAGTAAAAATATTTGGGTGGTGTATACATTGTGGTCATTTAAAAGTCTCTTCGTTCATCTACTGTCATGTATTTCGTTATAAAAATCCTCCTACTCGGAAGTAGTCAGAGAGTGTTTGTCTGTAGGGCAACATGATAAGTCACGTGGACAATATGGCCACTCTCGATTACCGCCCAATTAAATAACTTATTATCAGATATTATGCGAAATTCCGAAAGAATAAGATAACTCATACAAAGCAGTACTCTTGAACACAGAGAGCACCGCAAAAGCGTCCCCTTCCTTCATTCTTCTCCATTTCACAAGCGTTTCCCACAAATCCACCGAGATAGTATCCATAAGCAAGAAATACAATCGCCCGTCTGGTTTCACCTTGAGTACATAGGATTAACATTTTATTTTCCAGAATCCATTTGCCCAGCTACGTCATGGATTTTGGAGTGGTCATATTTGGCTCAGTGGTTCGTCAATGCGTGCGAGCAGCAAATCTCGGACACGAACCAATTAGTTGCCGATTCGAACCAAGTACTGTTCTGGCCGCGTCGAAGCTAGGTGTCACACCGAGTATTAGCGCAGTCCGACAGATGCCAGTGACTTCAGAATCAGAGTGGATAGAATGGGAGATCGTTTTCGATCCCAAAGGAGCGAATCTGTCTCCTGGTCCGGTGGAAACGGAGTTGTTGATAAACGTAAGTCCCAACACTAATCTGCTTATGAAGTAACCTTTTTATCGGAACGGTATGTGTTACCAGGCCATATCCTTCGTGTATTCGTTGACAATCTACCTCCGTGTGTGTGGATTTCGATCACCTTCGCTTTTGGTATTTAGTGCAATTCGGGTTGGGTGTTGAGGATGTGATTTGTTCACCCAACTACGCAAACGGGCGGCAGACTTTTCATCGTTAATCGAGTTGACTTCCTAAATGCGCAATAGTGAATTATGTATTCGCTAATAACGTATATCAGGTACATTGGGAGTCAACGTGTCAAGCGTTAATACCCGCGCCGAAATCGGATTAGTTTTCTGTTGTGTTGCTCATGAGTAACTAGGCCGTTCCTATTGGTTCGTGCGAAGTATATTGCAATTGTCATATTGTGGAACCCGGTCGGCATAGATGGACGGCCAGTCGTCTCATTCGGAAGTGTGCCAATCACTAACATAGAGAAATAGAAAATGTGGAAATAAATCTTGTATACTGTCCATATGGGACGTTAAAGATTAAAAGACCTCGCTACTACCACCAGCATTTAGCTATCAGTCGCTACATTCAATTAAAATAGTACTTCCAGTCAGCGTGAGCGACCGATAAACCGAGGCTGAGTGACAGCTTTGTGCACCCGGCCATTCTTGTAAAACACATTTTGGAGGAGTTTCCATCATTAAAATATTTTCGGTGTAGCCTGTTTTCTTTAGTACTGCGTTATTACTGTTTGCGAATCAATTTCCGCTGAGCGTTGACAGTATTCGCAACTAGGAAAAATACTTCCACTGCATAGGCTGTCTGCGAACCAAAAATTTATTCTGAGTGACAGAAATCCTCTCCAAATATGTCTCACTGAGACGGCCAGGGGCACAAATATAAAGGTCACTAAGGGCGCTCCAGTCGTCACTCCAATGTATGAAAATTGGTCACCCTTGTTTTGTGGGTAGGTACGTCGTTTGTTGATCGTTTGTCTATCTTCTGTACCTCAAGTTGCGGTTTCGCATCAGCCAAATGTGCTCCTTTCTCCTCTGCTGGTATAGGTGATCAAGGACAGTCCGAGGTTTTGTTAGGTTCTCCGCACAATGCTTGGTTCATCGATACGTCATGTTGGTAAGAGACGTAATCAGGTCAACGAATATCGTCTCTTTGGATGATACCGAACGAATAAGCCAGAATGGTGGTTAGAGACTCTATCCAACAAGGATTAAGCACAAACACAATCTTGCATTATGTCCCATGCTTTTATAGGTTGTTGCTTGGGAAGTTACGTTCACCTAACTTACTCTATTCACTACCCATAGAATTTTTATCCAATGCCTGTATTGTTCTCCATTCCTGTTCACAATTCGACTGATTATTAATATGCCACTCACACCGAAAAATTGAATTCTTAGTCATATTCGGCACAAAAGTAGTGTCGACTCGCAACCCAAGCTGGGAAGAGGATAGTTTAACTGGAGCCATCCTTCAACTAAATATAGACGTTGGCCTACCGTCAGAGTGACCGCCCAGCTGACTGTCAAAATCAGTGCGTTCAGTATTTTACATTACTAGTAAGTAGTGGGGTTTTACATATCACTTTGTTAAGGTTTTCATCCCAGTAGTTTGCAAGCTAGATAGCAGAGCCTAGTCCGGAAAAGCACTAGACGCGTCTGGCCCTGTTGGGGCTCGTCAGTGGTGCGCATTCCCTCGGTCCGCTAAGGAGGATCCAATCCATGACCGCCAGAAGCAGATACCAACTAGCCAGCAGTTTATGCCACAGTGCCATGGGGGACATTGGCTGGGCCACATAAGTTCCAAACTACCTGGGATATAGCACCACCTATCTTCTACTGCCGTTGACAGTGATTAGCCTTCGAGATGATGACGTCCTCTCACTAGAAGCTATATCCATAGCATTTTGAAACTAGGAGAGGCTATTTATTTTATATTACTGGTAAGTAGCAGGATTTTAGTTGTCATTTTGTTAAGGTTTTCATCCCATTACTTACTGTTGAGCTGACCTCGTTGTCTGTCTGTCCGTTTGTCCGCCTGTCTTTCTATCCATCTGGCTCATCGGTGATGATCGGCAGAATCCTTCACTTATAGCTTCAGACCCCATTTTGAAGGCATTCTACTTCTGAGGAACACGCCAACGGAAAAATAGTATATTACGGGACAAAAGGCGGATGCTTGGCAAGTTCCGTAGGACGGCTAGAATGGGAATCACAATAGGTGAATAGAAAATAGTGATAAAAGGAAACTCGCTCTTGTGCACTGATCACCGGGTTAACACATTGGCATGCGGAAAGGGCCAACCTCAGTCATGTAAGTTAACTATGGTTGTGCAACTTTCATCGCATTATATCGTCTGTCGAGACTCACAGGCCACATCTCGTAACGTAGGTGGGTTAGGGCAATGTCAAGACGTTCTTTAAACACAGGTAAAGTGGAGGCGAAAACAACGTAATATGTGAGGTCTCCCATGACCCCCACACACGAAAAGAGTAAAAGTTCCATAGATATTCTAGCCGATTTTATTGCGTGGCCAAATTGAACTGATGGCCCCTAAAATTCGTGTTGTGGCTGACTTGTAGTAGGTGGCAGCAGACGTGGTTGGAGTACATCGGTATCTGGTAGGTCAAAATAAGGTTGCCACGTAGGCACCGATACCGGCTATTGTATAATTTTAGATTCCGCAGCCTAAGTTGATAAGGAAGATAGAACAATACTTTGATGTGTTCCGTGGCTCGTTTCCGTAGCGTCTCGAGCGCTGCCAGGTCTTTCTTCTGCCAGGGTTGCCAGGCCTGGATTGCTTATTCCACATGAGGCCGAGCAACTGCGAACATCTTGAGGGATCAAACCGCCCAAATGCCCTCCGCAGCATGCCAAGCTTTTGGTTTACAACCTATGACGCCTTCTCAGATGGTTCTAAGCAGCCCAGAATAGCCTGGATTAGTACCACAAGGCCGCGTTCCTGGGTGATTGCTTTCAGAACATGGTCTCGAAGCTTGTATGTGATGTTCGGCTGGTGGCGAATTTGAACAGCCTTACAGTTTCCCGAATTGAACTGGAGCAGATTGTGGAGTGACCACTTATGCACTCTGTACAGGTCTCGCTGAAGTGCTTCGTGCTCTCCTTGTTCAGTGATCGTTTGTTATATCTTAACATCATTAACGAACAGCAAGAAAGCTGGGGCAATCAAATACATAAGCTAGTTAAAGGACATAAGAAACAGATGATTCCCCAGAACTGCTCCCTGTGGAACTGCACATTCGACATAATCCGGATCAGACAGCGCACTTCGAACTCTGGCCTGCAGTTGCCGATCCTGCGAGAAATTCCTGACCCATCCAAAGATAGGATCCCAAATTCATAACTTTCGAGCTTGTAAAGCATAATGTCGTGGTCCAATCTGTCGAAAGCGTTGGAGAACTCAAGGTAAATGAGGTCTATAACTCTACCTTAATCGGCCGTTTCCTTCCAACTACTGCATGCAACCAGTTGGTTAGTAGTGCATGAACGGTGTTTGCGGAAAAGCTGCTGCTTGCGTGCTATGCTGTGGCGTTCTACATGATCTACTTAAGCCTCCGCGATTTTGGTCCCCGTTAGCTTTGAGAGAACAGGGAAAAGAACCACTGAGCGATAGTTGGCTGGTTCCGAGTGAGTACCACTTATGAACATCGGATTGATTAAGCCACATTTCCACATGGGAGGCACAGTTTGTTCATCCATGTACATTTGGAAGAAATGCGATTATGGTTGGGCCAGCACTATTGCTGCTAAGACTATCAGCTCAGGGTACATATTGAGAGCAGTTACTTCAACACAGATGCTGAAGCAAAAGCCATTTTAGTAACTGCTAACATTGGGGCTAAGCATGTAGGTATGTAACATTGGCGCACGCCTCGCTGGAAAGTTGAGGCATACTGTAGCTATAGGTCGTTGGCTGCTGCTTCAGCACTCTGTGCCACTCCGGCTGCCGTGTTAAGATGGGGTATGCTGTGCTACAATTTCCAAATGGTATTAACATGCTTAAATAGGAGCAGTTTGGTGTTCGCAAATTTACAAGCCACATGTTGTTGGTAAGTCAGTATGTCCTCACGGACAAGCACGTTACAATGGTTACCCTGGGTCACATAGTCGCTCGGGGTTTCGGGACCACCTCGAGCTCTGTAAGTGTGACAAGCTGCTACGCTTAGTGTGGGCTCTACTTCTGACGAAAACGAGAGATTGGTGAAGCAAACCCTCTTCGTTTCTGATGCAGTTACGTTTAGATTGCTGAAGCATCCAACAAACTGGCTTCAGGCACTGTCATGAGAGAAACCTCTGAAGAAATATAAAGGCAAATTCCTGTTTCAAATCACTCAAGAGTTCCCCATCGGTCACTGCAACCAGATGGGTCAGGATGTTGTAATGTGTGCTTGTACCTGCTAGTTCTGTGCATTCCTCTGGATATTCGGCGTAACACACATAGTTATAAGGGATGGTGGCATAATCACTTAACCATAGCGGGGCATCTATAAATGGCCTGTCAACCATGAGTTACACAATTGTAAGTACGCGATAAAGTCCCGATGGTTTGTTATCAGTTCTGTATCTAGTAGGCCAGGTGATGTGATGGTAGAGCAGCATAGTTATGGTTATGTCTTTCAGTTTGGCCTTGTATGTTTGCTGGGTAGGTTGAGGCGTCCAGCTCGTGTACGTTGAAACCGCAGGAGATAAAAACGGGGTTGTAAGTTCAGAGTAAGCATTTGTCAATGATGACATTAGGCGGGAATCTATCTCTGGAGCGGACGCTGGGGACTATATACCACTGCCACGAAGCAGTTGCCAGTGTGTCTGAGACGCAAACGGCACCATAGCGAATCAGTGACCCGCATCTCCGGATTATCCAATGGTTCTCATTGTAAGTCGTTGCGAAAGTATAGGATAACACCATCTCCCCTGATATGACGATCGAGTCGGAACAAGGACATTCCATGAATCGCGATCTCGGCAGCCCGTAACCTCTGCGTGCAATCAAGTCTCGGTTATAGTGATGAGATCATAAGCTTTTATTGCCTGGCGACTTTGCTGAGGTTGCGTTGAGTATTTGCGTACATGCAGGGAAGCGTTTCGGTTCTCAGCAGCGATCCGTAAGACTTGTGACTAGGATAAGAGGTTGTGCCAACCATTGTACGGTCGGCCGCTAGCCATTTTTTATCTTATTATCGGCGAGTCGCTTGGGGTCGGGTTCGGTGACATCGTACATTGCCCTTCTGACAACTCAGCACAATGAATGGGATGTGTTAGCAAGATTGCACAGAAAAATACTCACATCCTTTGGACCTGCATTCAATGTGAATTTCAGAGGAGGTGCCCGATTCGTTTGCCTGCTGCGGTGGTGCTTTAAGTCGGACGACAGTTTCGCTCGCTGCTTTGAAGCCGGTCTCGGTTGGTAGTCTGATCCGAAGCTAGTCATCCTTCCAGCAGCATAAGTGTCATTTGCCGAGTTTGTAGCACAACCTTCATTATCTTTCGGCCGCACCTTCTGTAGCTTTCTGATTTTGGCAGCCTCGAGAGCGAAGTAGCTACAACTTCATCTAAGAGCGAGGTCTCACAAATATAGCTCCACCGCTCCATGTCTTGCGCCCTTGCTTCTTATTCATCGCGCTTTTGAGATTGAGGGACGCCGTGGATAAAAGCAGTTCTGGTTGCGGTGCTTAGAAGCAACTCTTCTAAGCTCCCCTTCGCTCGCTTGCGCTTGCCTTACGGAACGTCTGGAAAGAAGCGGACCAAACCAAATGCTTTCTGTTGATGAGTAATGGAAAACAACACTGCTTCCACCTCATGGAGATGGTTTGGCAAAATACGAAGAAGCCTGGCTACAGCATAGTGCTTGGAATTCGGGTGGTGGGTGATCCTCGCCAAGTTGGAGAGTTTAGTCAGAATAACCAGCAGGTTGCTTACTGTGTTCCATTGGTTTAGGTCAACCACCTGTTTCTCCTACAAACAATCTGATGTTTACTCTGGAAAGTTGGTGCATGTTATAGCTAGAGCATCCAGTTGTTTCTCATTGTCTTTTTTGGGACTATGGACCGTGGTTGGGAGACCGCACGATTTGCTACACGTCCTTGCAGCGTTGTTTTCCACACTAGTTATTGGTATATTGGTAGAAACACCAGCTGTTGATTTTTGGGTGCTCACTGATGTAACAACGACCCAGCTGCCACTGATATTAGCATGTTCCCTGGGTTTCCGCGAATCCTGAAGGAAGACATTGGCTTTGAGGGAAATTGTTGCAACTGGGCTGTGAGTGAGGAGTTTCTAAACGTTTGGAAGAGTTAAGTTATTGGCGGTGTTGACAGAAGGAACTATTAGTGTAACATCCGGAGTTGTGAAGTTGACTTGCACTGGAGAGGCCTGTGTTAGACATTCTGTCATGCTTGTTCCTACTGAACCTATTTTAGTGCCCAAAATGTCCGCAAACACGTCTGTCAGCCTAGCGTACTTCTGAGACAGTGCAATTACGGTTTTGACCGGTAGGACATTATTACACTTCGCACAGGACCAAAATGAGTCTGGCCTGCTGCTTGTCAACCTAAACTCGCTTGATTTTATTTTCTTACCCGTGGCATGAGAATAGGTCGAGCAGTTTCCACCTGAAACCCCTATTTTGACCATCTTATTGCATGTTCCACAAATACCTTTAGGCACTGCGGATAGGCCATTCGCACTCATAGCTCACGTGAACATGTTGACGGTTAGTCCAACCTTGGACTCTGGATTGCGTGTTCTGGCGTCAAGGTCAGTTCGCCGAGACAGATGGCTGCCTCAATGCCTCTCTCGCGGTCACGCGCAGATTGCTGGATTCGACAGCGCACACACAACCGCACGAAGACGCGGTGTGTTTTGGTCGGGTCGCTTTGCGTGCCGATATACGCAGGGCGTTAGCAAGCTTCCCTATATGTCTCCGACACCATGTTTAGTGAGTGAGGGATGCAGATTGTCGCGTAACTTTATTTCGTTGCTGGCTTTAGTGATGTTTGAGGGGTCGTTTGAGAGTCCTCAGCTTCTGCTTTAGAATGAGACCAAAAATCTTCTCGAATCGCTCAGGAGTGATGTGATTGCACACGCAGAACTCGACAAAGAATGGGCCAAAACTGAGTACGGGTGTAACAGTACGATCCATACAAGTTAGATCCAAGAAATGGGAAGCACCTAGTAGCGTTCGTCGAACTGATTCGAAAGAGCGCACGCACAAGAATGTGTGTGGATAATTGGAGTAACTATAGCGGCTGAAGCGCGAGTCGGGATAAAATGCGCCATTACGGCGATTGAGACCTGATGAGGTAAGCGCTCATATAATAATTGACTCGGTGTTGTCTAGTCATTTTAACGTCTTGAACAATGTGTTCCAAACTTTCAAGCATGAATTATCTGCAGCTGCGCAATGATCTGTTACTTCCGTTATTCTAACTAGGGGAATATACTATGTCTCTAATGTTCCTTTGCTTAACCAGTTTGATCACATGTGGATTGACTATGTCTTTATCGTTTACCGCATAAAACATCATTACGTTAACTCTGCCGCAGGTTGCCAATGGTCCAATCGTTCCCATTTTGGTACGTGCTGAAGTGGTTGTTCCCAAACTGCTAGCCAATGTGGAATGCTTGGAATTCGCAGATGTACAACGAGGAGAGGCTCTGCTAATGCCCATTAGATTGGAAAATCCATGTCCGATCCGTGTTCACTGGATGCAGGAACAGAAGTGGCCTATACCTTTAACCAACCCGACCGAGCGGTCAGATAGGGGAAAATTTGGGTGGCAATCGAAGCGAAGGCGGGCCGCATCCCAAATGCCACGCATCTTTGAAGTAATTCCCAGCGAAGGGAGTTTGAAAGAAGGTGAAAAAGTGATTATACAGGTATACCGCAACCATTGCAGGACCTCCTTTTGATAAATTACGGCAAATGGTGTAAAATACCACAAATCAGATGTCCTTTACAACCAAGACACGTTTTGTCTCGATTATGCATCAAAACGGAGTGTAATCAACTGGTAGCTTTGGAGGGGGTTAACTAAGCGACTGAACAGGCTTTTCTTGCTAAGCGCCATCTCACCAACATTTATGCATCAAAACGTTAGTTCCATTAGGCATATTTGGTTACCAAAGCCACTGGATTGTTGAGTGTGGTTCGTACTTTGCACCTTACAAGTGCGCTGTTACAGGTTCACTTATATATGGTCTATGCTCTCGACAATATTAATAATAGGACTAATAATAAGTACATATATTCCCGGATTCACTAGACATGCTGTTTTGGTTTGCTCAGCTTTTACGATCGTTTCGCATGATACCCACAGGATAGTCCACGTGTTAGATAGAAGTATGAGTCATTTTTCTAATTGATGGTTCTCTAGTTCAAACCCCTAATTGGGTATGGAATGCTTCGTGCCTTCCTGTCGGATAGCTCCATTTATAGACGGAACCAAGTATTTTTCTCCGTGGGATGAGGGAAGAAGGTATCAGTAGTACGCCGCTACGTAGTACCGACGCTTCGCTGCCACGTAACCACCACCAGTCGCACGCTGGATAAACATACTGCGAGCGTCGCCCGGTCCCTGCGCAGGCTCGAACTCACGCCCTCGGATTACTAGGCTTGTCGGTGTCCAGCAATTCATTGACGTCAAGTCCGTTGGCTTTCGGAACGGCGGCACCATGTGTATAACGTGGCCTCAACTGATTTACGTGGCGTCTCCACACCTGTGTACCCACTTGAACATCATACATCACGTTGCCTCGGCGCCGCAGGACTCGTCCTGGTATCCATGCGATCCGCTGTCCTTGATTCGCAGCTGCAAACACAAGATCGCCCACCTTGAAAAACCTTTTTCTGGCACCATACCGCCTGTTGTACTGACGCTCCATCACTGAATTTCGTAGTTGTAGAGACGGGCGCTTGGGGGTCAGCAAATCTAGTGTGGTTCTCAACCTTCGACCCATAAGTGCTTCAGCTGGTGATTTGCCATCTGGTGCATTAGGATTGGGGTAACTCTGTAGTTCAACAGGAAACGTTCCAATCTTTCGTTCAACGATCCCTCCTCTTTTGACTTCCACAATGCTCGTTTCAAGGTATCCACAAATCTTTCCGCTTGGCCATTAGACTGTGGATGATACGGGGCCGTCCTCACATGCTCGATCCCATTCTGTGCACAAAATGCAGCAAATTGATAGGACGTAAACTGTGCCCCGTTATCCGACACGACTGTTACTGGCAATCCGTGCTGACTGAAGACATGTCTCATCACCATAATTATGCTGTTGGCTGACGTGTTTTGCATAGTGACTACCTCCGGCCATTTACTGTAGGCGTCAATAATAACGAGGAAATGCACTCCTTCGACTGGTCCTGCGAAATCTACGTGTATGCGCGACCAGGGCGATTCAGGGTTTGGCCAAGCTTGTAATGTAGAACGTACCGGTAACTTGGAGGCACTGATGCATCTGGAGCACGATCGGCCAATATCTTCAATTTGGCTATCCATCATGGGCCAAAAAAACGTAGCTGCGCGCAAGCGCCTTCATGCGAGCGATTCCTGGATGGCTCTTGTGCAGTTGCCGTAACAGCAATCGCTTGCAACCCTGCTTATGAAATTTTTGGACATAAATACTTGTACTGTCTCAGTTTAATTTCGGAGAGCCATACTATCGCTTTACGCTCTACACTTGGTCGCCGCCTTGGTCTCGGATTATTCATAATGCCAAAACAAGCATCCCTCAATGACTGTTCCGAAGTTATCGGAAAGCGCGCACATGGAGTGACATGTGTTAGGTGTCATGTTGCAATCCACATTTAGTGTACTGGACCATCGATTGAACATTTTCGGCGTTTTCGTAAAATCCCACATGCTTTTGTGTTAGCATTGCCGAAACGAGATACAGCTGGAGAAAGCAGAGCAGTATCGCAAACCGACTTGTATGGTGAATAATACCGTTGCAATCAGCTCCGTGTAGTTGATCGAACAAGCTAGTCCGAAGCGCCTCCACCTTTCTGATAAACTTTTTGTTTGTCCTGTGCAAACTCTCCGGCACGTAGTTCCGACGTTGCGAGTGGCCCAGTTACACCTGACACAGGTGTTTTACCTGTGTTGTATCCTACAGGCACAGATGTCCCGGTGTGCGAAGGTCAGTGTACTGGAGACACGTGGAAAGTATAAGCAAAGGAAAGCATAGAAAGGCAAAGTGTTCCGTCGCTGCAAATCAAGGAAAACTCATACCATGTGAAACTCGGGGAAATCCTCGCTCTGCAACGTCAACCATGGCCAAACGGAGGCGTGTAAGCCACCTGCACTTTCACGCGCTTGAGTCCAGTGGTTCAACCCCTCAGATGCGATACGATCATGAAATCCACTATTTACAGTGCCTAATTGAAAGATTCATCGACGGGGGTAAGGATGGTTTGCAAGTGAAGCACATTATCCACCTTGGCAAGAAGTGTGGTCAAGAGAAGTCGAGCACTGTGAATCAGCTTTGTGGACGAAGTCAGTCCGAAGATGATATTGTCCAGCTTAAACAGCTTGAAAGTTTAAAAGATCCATGTTCGTCCAGACCTAGATCCGGTGGATCGAGTACGGCTCAAGCCTTTCATCACTGAGGTGAAATAGTGATTGGGAAACAAATCACCTTACCATATTTTGTTCGGTCCTTTCCAAGACGCAACGACGCAAGGTAAACAGGCTGTCCATACTTAAAGCACGGCCGGTAATTCCTCCTATGGCCTGCGTGTAGCCTTTGGCAACGTTTGCAAAGTTATGAACAAGCATGTGGAACTCCGTCGTGTCGTTGCAACTGAGCGGCCGGACATAGTGGAATTCACGTATACGTGACTGAATTTTGAGTTGATTGCTCAAGAAATCGAACTCACTGGCTACTATTGCTTCCGATGCGACAGACTATCGAGCGCTTGCGGTGGCGTCTTGCTCTGTACGCGTGTTGTGAGCGTCTACAGAAGCGATAATAACTTGCGTCAGGCGCTATGGTGCTCGTCCAACTAAGGCGCATCCGCTGCTCTTGGGTGCACTTTATCGCAGTCCTTCAGTCCTTGTTCGGATTGGGTTCCGCATCTCCAAAGCCACACGAGTGGTCCACGTCTCCTACTCCTGGGTACTTTCAATTGCCTCGAGTACGCTGCCCTGAAATTCAACTCATGAGGTCAAAACAAAGTTCGTGGATTTGGTGCTTGAAACTGCAGCGACACAACACATGTGCTAATCGAGACGGATAACTCCGCTTTCAACTCCGTCGTGCCCAGACTTTATGTTAACAACCTGTGAATAACGTTTATGACGTTTATGTTCTAAAGTCACTAGCAGCAAGCGACTACATAGTGGAATGAATCAAGCGAGGCAGAATCTGAGTAAAGAATTCTTTTCGGTAATTCTCATCAGACTCAAACATTACATGATGAGGAAAAAGTGCTAAATGTGCCGGATTGGGCTACGTATTGAACAAAATGTTTAATTTCACGGGTACAAATCAATAAATCACGGGGTCATTGGAAGTGGGACGTGTGTACAGGGAAATCATAGCCGAAGTTGTAGGCCACGGTAGAAGCAAAGGACGTACAAACTGTTTTTGTACGCACAGTTCTGGCTTGAGGTGGCGGATGCAGATAGCTTCCGCAATAGACAGAAGATGCGTCCGGAATCCGCGCGTGAAACGTTCAGGAACAGTATAGATGACTCTAAAATCATTTTCCGTTCCTGCGTGATTGCACTCTAGTAGATGAGATAAGATGGAACTGTTGCTGGACCTCGCTTCGCCTTTGTAAAACCACTTTGGGATGTGTTCGCGAATCCTATGAGATAGGCGTCTCGTGGTACGACCCACGTATCGTGCCCCACTACATAGTGCTCGTAGCCAGGATGGAGCTGTCTTTACCGCATGCCTACCCGATGGAGCCAGCGTAAAAGTACTGGAAAACTGAGTTCGGCGGTCTGTCTCGGGCCGCGAGCAAAGCGAATTGGTCTCTACCATAACCTACATCTGTGAAAGACTGTCGGACTGTTTTAGAAGGAGAAGTAACATTACGGTGTTCTCGAATTTTTCTATTTTAGTGTCGGAATCTTGAACTATTCAAGCCCACATTGTTTCGACAAGAAGTATGGTAAAATGGCTTGGTGGCAGAGAAGATTGTGGTACAAACTCCTCTCCTCACGCTCTTCCACCGAGTAAGAAGCGTATAAGAGGCAGCAAAATATTTACAATCTTGCAATAACGAGAAAGCGCCGGCATTTCGGCCTCACTTTCCAGACGACACTTGTGCTTTCTCCATGACCTTAAAAAGCTTGATTCATCTATTGTTGTTTCTATGCCGAGCTGCATTCCTGATGACACCGGCGGTCACTCAGCCGTCCCATGGCGTGATATCAGTGCTGACCGGCAGAAATATATATATATATATATATATATATATATATATATATATATATATATATATAATGCACATGACGAAGAAGCCGCAATGGAGTGACGGATTTCTGTGTGGCTGGGCGTCCCAGTACGACACGTTTGCGATACAAATCGGTCATTCAAAATATTTCAAGCGCAATCTTACCAATGAAATATTCCGGTATAATGCTTTAGTAATCGATTTGCTCTGATGGTAGACGACATTTGGTAACGGGACGAATGTGTTCAATGCTACGGTAAAGATTCACTGGAAATCTCTTGCGAATGACCAAAATTCGTCTCATTGAGATGGTCATTATTCCACAGCTTAATCCATCAGTGCCAGTCCGTTGGTCACTTATGTGTATTCCTCTCGGTCACTTATGCTGAGTTGTATGTTTCATGCGTAGTTGACAATAATTTATCTCTACGGCATGATTTTTCGTGACCTAGGGCATTGAAAACCCCGAATATATCACCGATTCCTGTTTATCTTTGCACAATTGCTGCAAATGCTCCCCATGGATTTATAAAGCTTTGCTTGAGCTTAGTTAACTAATCGGTGTTGTTGAGACCCATGCGAACTAACCCGGAAGATTTGATTACTGGCTTCAGATGACAAGCAGGTAGTTCATTATCCGTACCTTATTCTTAAATGCTGGATTCATTCATCTCATTTTGTATTTGTGTGGTTGTAAATGAAGCGCACAAATTGCTCCTCCACTGTCGTCTCTGATGAAAGTGGTGATCTGATAGCCTGGAACTTCATAATAATAATAATAGTAATAATAATAATATTAGGTATATTTCTCTTGATGAGGGGAACTGTGTTTATAGCGGCACAGACCGATTTGTACAGACGAATTCATGCTCTTGCATGGGTGACATGCATAGGTGGAGTATTGGGATATGCGCTTCATGTATTAACATTCTGGCGGATGGTTGAGGCCAAAGCCTAGTTATGTAAACATTGGTGTTTGTATGTTTTTGTGCCCCTCTTGGAATAGGTCATCGAGGGAATTTTACCATGTGAATATAGAGATTAGGGTAGTTAGATCAATGTAAATGACGAGTCTGCTGCTAAATATTGCCACCTTGTCACATGACCTGAGTGTTATTGGTAGTTTATTCCACAGATAGCTGTATCTGATCAGGAAGTAAGTAGAGCGGATGTTCTTTCTAGCCTTCGGTATATTCAATGTAAAATCTTTATTGCGAAGCGCTCGAGTTGAGCAATGTTGTAAATTGAGTGTACGCAGATTAGAATAGGTCTTTTTGTGTAACATGTTGAAAAGCAGCAACAAGTTGTGCTTCAATCGTCGAATCCAAACTGGTTCGAGATGAATTTCATTGCAACGTTCTCGATAACTCAGAGCAGAGTCTTTACCAATCAAATGTTTAGTAAATGACCTCTGCAGGTTCTTCACAGCAATCTTATCATTCGTTTTCATATTGCCGTGTATTATGCTGCAGTATTCAAGGAAGGGGCGAGTAAGTAGCTTGAAAAGCTCAACTCTAACACCAGTTGTGTGTATTTTGTTTGATATATTGAACATAGACTGTCTGGCACGTGCTACTTGATGTTGGGTCTGTTCTGAGAAATTGAAAGTAGACGAGTAGCTAATACCAATATCCCGCGTGGACAACTGTGTAGGGACGTGTTCATTGTTTAGTGTGATAGATCCTTCGGGGATGCAGCAGCCGTAAGACATGATGCTTGATTTCTTAGCCGAGAGGTTCATCACCATGTGCAGCACCATGACTCAAGGGAATGTAAATCATCTTGAATGAGCAGTAATGTCTCGTGAAGCTGTCGTCATAGATACCATCTCACACCGGTTACAAATGCTCAGAAGGAAGCGGTACTGTACGCCCTGTCCGCTTGCATGCACAGATGTGTTCAGCTTCACGCTGTTGCTCATGATCGATGAGACTAATTCTTCATATTTCGTTTGTACAATGAGCAACCAATGCATTCGCGTTATCCTCCGACTGATTAAGTTACACGATCCACTCATATTTCGGTTGGTTAGGTGAAGTTCACACCACTAGAACAGCGTCGATATGAAGAATGGATCACTGTGTTTTTGGAGAACTCTTCGGAAACAGTGCGTATCAAATGCTGTGGTCATGGTCTGGATCCGCAGTTGCAATTCGACCAGACATTGATTCAGTTCGATCCCTGTCTGCCATTCGTAAATTCAGAGGAAAGGAACATAGTGGTCAAGAACCGTTGTGACTTCCCTATTGAATTCTACGCTGTGGAGTTGGATTTGCAGTCGTACCAGGTGAGCAAAGCATGTAACAGGTGCCAAAGTAAGTCATTGAATTCCCAACAACTGTGTAAACACTATCTACAGTGCATTGTAGTTATGTTTGTCGATCTGCGTAACAGCAAGTTAGTGCCCACCAAAGTGGAAAACTCGGTGTTTGGACAACAGGTAAAAAGTGCCAGAAATCTCAGAAAGCAACTGAATGCTGTCCAAGTGTTTGTCACAACGTAAATGTCATTCGGTGACTTTTGTATCAATTTTGATGAGAACAGTTTTGTGCGCAGATAGTGGATAGTCACAAGCCACAGTTGCGTCCCATGTCGCTCGATATGAAGAGAATTCCATTTGAAAGTTCAATATGTGACAACTCCTCAGGTAGCCCCTAAAGATTACGAAGTACTTCAGATAAACTGTGAAGAATCCGAAATAAACATGCCACGAATTTACCATTATTCCAGTAGATGACAGTCAGGTTGCTTGCCAAAAATGCAGATACAATTGTAAGGCTGAGAAACACAAATTGACCAGCTTCCGATCCTTGCCATGGTATGTTCTGCGTTTCTAGGAGGACAAAATGCTTCGCATTCTTGATGGATACGATGAATTTGGACTGATGCTTCTGCCACCGCGCAAACCGGGAGAAGGTTTGCCTCCTGAAATCGTGGCGCACTACGAAGAGGCAGTGAAGTCGGGAAGGTGCACGAGCTCCGAGGATTCTAGATCCGCACAACGCGAATCTTCGCAAAACTCACCGGTAATTGTTCTGTTGTGTTAAAGGAAATATATAGTACTCAAACGATTTAGGCTGAATTTGAGCTTGTTCGATACCAACAGTTGTTGTGGGTAACTTTGTTTGCACAATTCCTAGTACCGAGCAGCTTTCTCCAACCTCCAGCTCCACCATATTGTTGCCGTGTGATGGTCACGCCATACCTTATTGGCAACAATGTTATTAGGCAATAGTTACTTCCGTTCTCATTCCAGAGACACTATTACCAGATTGCCGACTGTGTAATTTCCCAGCGATACCACTAACGAAGGTCATGACCTTACCCTGTCAAATAGCCTCGTTTGCCGTTACCTGGTAACTGTTACGTTACTCTAACAATAAGCTTTTGGCAAAGAGGTTAACTGTGATACACTTCCACGCAAAGCACACTCCACAGGAGCCGAAACTTGCGGTACAACTAGAACGCGGTACTAATGGAGGACTTTAATACCTGTGATGACGAATTATTTCCGAAACGCGGTAGGCGATTGCGCTGATTTGAAACGGATGATATAATAACAACTTGAGTTGACGTTAGTTCCAACCGATCGGATGTCTAGTTATTCCATTAAAGCGGGCTCCATTGGCAATTGTTAATCGGCGAAGCACATTTCTAGTTGGATCATGTAATTCCTTTGAGACCCCGGTGCCTCTCTCCCTTCAATTCTTTGTACAAGCGATACAAGGATTTATCCCAGTTAGCCTACGTTGCTAGCCCGATGCATGGAACGTCCGGCTACTTCTTAAATTGGATGCCGTGGACCATCAACGGTTACCAACTTTCTATTTCCACAGAATCCCCGAGACCTTCCTTATGTAGAGACGGTCCAAACCTTGATATAGATATTTGACGAACAGCCCTCACTCTTCTATTAGTTGTAATGCCTGCAGATGACTAAACGTCATGGCGGCCGCTTCGCTAAATATGCGAGCATTGTCAGTCACGTGTGAACGATTTTAACTCGGATCAAACGGGGAAAATCAGTTCAAGTGCCTCATCTTCATTTCCAGCCTTCAGTCAAGCATACTCGTACTGGCATCCAGTCCAAGACACACCAATACAGCCCGGTTACATTCCCGAAACGCATTGAGTGTGTCATGAGCTGGTCAACCTGAAGCGCCACTCCGAAATTATGCGAAACGCCCCTACATCCGTAGATTCATGTACCCAGGTAGAGTTCATCTTCAGAGCCCTCCAGTGATTGTTGTCAACTTCTGATGAACCATAGGTGTGCAGCAATAACAGCTTACCAAATACCGTGACTGAACTGGAGATCAGGTTGGTAAATCCTTGTGCCTCTTGATACAAGCAGGTGTGTTATATAAGTTGGTGAGATGCCGAAATTCCGTAACATCTGGCAACCTCATCGCTGCTTGCCCCCCTCGTGCGTTAAAATGTGTGCAGAAATGTTCTGCACCACTTTCCGAATTTTGCACTAGCTTCTCGGTGGCATGTTACTTCACTAGGCAATACTGGTGTATAGTATTTTCCTCACGGGCAACTGCGCCACAGTGACCGCGCTGAACCAACTAGTATCTCCAAGCCTCAGCATAAGAGTTAGCTTCGTACTTGCGCCATGCTGAGTCCTTTAGTTTCACAGTTTCTTGCTCCGATTATGATGAAGGACGTTGTTGAACGACGCCACTTAGGTTGTAACGCAGCTGTGACCAGACTGCTGAACTACCCATCAAACTTCATACTTATTATCGAGGCAGCCGATTTCCAAACATCCCGAGAGGCTTCCTCAGCCAGTTATGGCCGGTATCCGAGTGGTCGATGGGCCTGGCTTGCAACCATAAAGTCACCGGTTCGAATGCGCGTAGGCGTGGGCGTCCTCGCGGTCTACCAAGCCCGCGCGCGACTAGTGGTGGTCGCACGGCAGCGAAGCGCCGTTACGGCGTAAAACTAACCCTTTATTTTATTTTATTTTTATGGCAGGATATCCTGGCACGTGACGTTGCGCACGAAATCAATATGGTCATGTGAACAACCGGTGTAACAAATAAAACCATGCATCATGGAGGCATGATAACACTGTAACATGTAATCTCACTTGGTGCTTGACCTTGAGCTGGTTTCGACATAGGAAGTTCGTATCACACAGCATTCCCTACGCCCGTTCGCGGCCACAACACGGCTGCCAACATTGTCTGTCAAACTCTATGCGTCTTGTCTTTTGTTAGAATCCGTATGATTGCATTGGTGCCAAGCATATTAAATCACTACTTAAGCTAAATCCTTATCTATACTGAGCAGGAATCCCATATTCGAGCGTGAAAAGGGAACCTCCCCGGTGTTTTCTATCAGCGCGAACCTGGATAGGATAGAACATTGATCAATGGAAACGGAACATTAAACTACATTCCTTTCATTACTTCCGAAATGTTAAGGTAGTGTATATTCCGGAATACGGGACAGACTAACTGAGCTAATTTATTAACCATGCTCATTTATTTGTATTTAGCACAACATAATTTGGAAACGCGTTGTTTCGTCAGCGATTGTCTGATTCCGGCACATTTAGTATCTATGCGTCAACCGTGCTTTGCGCGACATGAGGTAATGAGTCCAATAACAGATCCATGGATAATCGAGTCCAAGGGGTCGAATAATACGAATCTTTTCACTTATTACTCGCTTTACCTCAAAAATATGCTATGAACCAAACTGTTTCATCACTTCGAGGGCTAAAAATCGTCACCATCCAGTGACGCCAACTAAAATTCTGAATGGGTACATGCCGGAATCATGCCATAGATGGGCAAACTAGTGTTTCTACCATAAGCCAGCAGAGTAAAAAGCTATCTAGATCTCTAATTTATGTTTCATGCTTAACTACGTCTATTTGGAGGCAAAATTAAGTAATACAGAATGCAAACAGCTCGTGTTTGCCTGTGTGACAGACGGGTCTTGGTCCCACATATGTGTTTCCACAGGCCGTAGCTATTTTCCTCTTGAATCCGCTACCCCAGCACTTCTGCCCTCTTCTTCGTAACCTAGTGCAACCAATGTAGATGTCGAACACAGTAAGTGCTTTTTGCAGTTGTGTTCAGTTACCTGAGTAAAAAGTAGGCTTGCCATAAACACAGCAAATTGTCTTGTTTCAGGTCACTGATATCACCAAGCAGCAGCTCGATCCTGTGGATTTGTTGCATCAGTTTGATAAAAGCAAGGTAAGCACATCAGGTGAGCTTCTGGCACTGATTCTGAGCAAGCGTGCACTGCGCAAGAGTCCAGTAGAGGAATCCGCAGCCGTGTCAGAGGAAGTCGAATTGACGCCAGTCTCAATGTCAATTGCTCGACATTTGGGAGTGTCTTTGACACCAGACGAGCAACTGGCAAGCGGCCCGCGCGGTGTTGCCCTGGTCGTTGACGCTGCATTGACAGCCCTTAGAAAACGTGAGTTGAAGTTGGTTCTACGTCTTAGGTTGTACAGGTAACATGAATGACTGCATTTGGTTTTCCAAATGCGCTCTCAACCAACTGAAAAGACTCTATTACTGGGCCATAGTAGGGCTATGAAAATTCCATGCCAGTGACCGTCAGTAGATTGCAATGACCTGCGCAATGCCAAGGCCCAGACTGTCATGAAGTCGAATATTTTACGTAGGCCTATTTCCATGTCTTGGATGATGCATCCTTCATAAATGAAATAGTACTGAAACATCCCGCTGATAAACTTGGCTGTGCTACCTATGTTTCGGTACGTGTTGTATTCCGGTTGATAGCTCTCAAGCAACTCTTTGGCAATCTCTATAGACGAATTCCTGACAGCCCTACCAACGGCTTACTCAGAGATTTTCTCGTTGAGGCTTGGGGTAGTAGTATGCATCTGGGCACATGTGATAATCTTTTCTAAGATTAAAAATGAACGTTTTATCGCGGACAGATAAGTTTATCCAAAGGGCTGTTTTTTCATTGTCAAACTTTGAAAAGCCCTACCATCCTAACTCATCTACAAATGCTATTTGCCTACTCCCTCCATCATCATTGTCTTCTCCCACTATTCTTCCATCTTGAGACCAATGCTCGCGCGTGGCTCATCCGCCTATTGTCCCACCATCCGTGGAGAGATGCAAAAACTGGTTCGTGTTCAACATGTGTTTAGCAGGCTCATCCACAGATTACGGCTGCCGTCGAACGAAAACAGATGCAGTTGATTTGGGCTGTACACGCTGTCGTTCCATCGTTTTCGAGTTGAACTCATAATGAATCACTGTGAGTACTACATCTGGGTTACTTCCTTATCCTGATGATGCTACTGTACTTGTGCAAAGCAAGCATCACTCGTGAGCACCAGTAGCAATGTAACTTGCCGGATGTGAAGCGGGTAGCTCATCCTCTATGCCTCGAGAATATAGTAGTGAAATGTTAAAAAAGTTTACCCTAGACAACAGACGAGGCGAATTCGGTTTCGGAATTTAACTAACTTAAACGCCAAATTTGCGCATTCCAAATTTAGAAAATGCATCGCAAGGCGTCACACATTGAACACCGTTGACAATGCGAGACAATAGGTGATGTTGTTCTGCATGTGCTCCACAATACTCTAACGGTGGAGCAACACTGGTTTACATCTACTATCTCTCTACTAGCTACATTCAGTAGTCTACCCGGGGAAAATTGTTGCTGAAGACTAGGCCCAGCCATACTGGGTCAGACAACCAAAGTAAATCCAGACGAACACCGGACGGCCGTTTCCCCCCTCCGGGAATCGTCACCACTGACGCATGTCGCAGAACTCGGTCGTTCATGGAGAGACGAATCACTCAACAAAGTCGTCTTAGCGAAAACGATAGCACAACCAGCCTGTAGAAGCCTCCGTTTATATAACTAGGCCGCTTCCATACCTGACGACGCTTCGGTATTCATGTGATCGTTTCTTTGACTAGACCAATCAAACTCCAGCGCATCTCAATATTGACCAATCAGCGCAGTAGCGGAGAAGTGCGAACGTCGAATCAGTTGACCGGTACGTTTGCAGCAATTTAGCCGCCTGCGTGGTCTTGTATATCTGTCTGCCTCCCCGAATTACATAATCCTATTAGAGGCAGCAATGGCTGTGACGAATCATTCTACACTTTAATCCAAATCTCTCCATCCATTACCTAGAATAAGTTAAAAGCATGCTCGGTGAGCCGCTGCTGCAGAGAGGGTTGTATGTACCTCCAGCTTGCTCATTAGGTTTCCACCCGTCGCAACGGGACTAGACCTTAAGGTGGTGCGACGGATTGCGTACCTCTCTGACCTACTGAGCTATACTGGGAGGGTGACTCCGGCATCTTGAGAGCTACTCCCACTAGGTTGACCAATGGTTAGAGACCAGACAAACTCGGTTGGGGTTCAAATTGGAAGACGTCTGTTTCTGTCAACTTCCCACTGCCTTGCGGACAGGCTTTTGAGCCTAAGGCTTTGGTTGAGGACCATAATCGTCCTCCTGTGTAGGTCTGGGCGCCCTGGCATTATCGCAGCCCATCATCATCATCATTATACACGTCAGCTAGAGGTGGGAAACACCTCTGCTACTGCGCCGCAATACATAAAGGAAAAGGAAAATAAATACAACAGTTGCATGCCAGCTGAGCTACCAGCAACGGATAGGCATCGTTCCGGTAAGCTACCAGCCGGCTACTAGGCAAAAAGAAAAGTATTATTGTGGATGTTTGTGAGTAGTGTTAAGTTTGTAGAAAGTAGAAGTAACGATTAAAATTATGTTTTACGCTACAAAATGAGATCGTAGGTGGAGTGGGAGGCTAAAAGGGATGGGAAGGGACAAAGAAACTCACTGCACAAAAGCCACTGAGGTCGGCTGCTTGCCATGTCAGCAAGTGTATCCAGCCAAACGTGTTCACCTTCTTTTGGAACCCAACCAGGGAGCCGTGACGCTCCAACCGAGGCCAACTCCGAAGTGAGGGACTTCATTCCTCTGGACCAAGTCATCACTTGGCCACCCCTCCTCTTCTTCCACCCACATCCCCCGTGAGCAAACAACGCACGTCGTGGAAGTCGGTGGGCTGGCATGCGCAACACGTGGCCCAGTCCTCGGAGCCTGATGCGTGAAATGACGGTGCTGAGCGGTTCATTTCTATTTCTGTGCCGTAAACAAGGCGTCGAACACGCTCGTTACTCACGCGGTGTTCCCACCAGATGTGATCCAAACTGCGAAGGCACCGATGGTCGAACGTAAGTAGCCTCTTCATGTCCGCCGATCTTAGGGGCCAGGTTTCGCAACCGTACAGTAATGTCGAAAGTACCGCTGCATTGTACACTCTACCCTTCAGGGCAAGAGTGATGTCGCGCCGCCGTCATAGGTGGCGAAGGTTAGCAAAAACACTTCGAGCTTTCGCTATACGGTTCGTGATCTCGTCTTCGATCCCAAGGGCGCTGATACCACTTCCCAGGTAGTCGAATTTCTGAACGACTTCTAGCTGATTTTCACCAAGAGTCAGCGTAGGAGGCGATCCCTGCCAATCTTGGAGGAACGCTTTGCAATTCGTTGGTGCAAAGCAAAGCCTGAAGCGGCTGACAGTCAGTGCTAATCTGTCCAGCGCGACTTCGCACGTCTGGGGGCAGTCACAGATTAGGGCATTGTCGTCTGCGTACTTTAAATCAAGAAGTCGTTCTCCTGGGAGTAGCTCCACACCTTACAAGTCATGTCCTGTGAATGCGATTTCCATGACTTCGTCAATAGCGAAGTTGAAGAGAAGAGGTGACAGCAGGCATGCTTGTCTCACATCGCTAAAGATATTGAAGGGTGACGACAGATTGCCGTAAGCCCTCACTCTGCCCGTGCTACGCGGGTATAATGCTCGGATAATATTTACATATTTCTCGGGCACACCTTTCCTGAGTCGAAAATTCCGAAGGGCACATCGATCAACCGAATCCAAAGCACCTTTGCTGTCGAGGAACACGACTACGGTAGGCCGCCACATACAACCATGACAATTCTCTCAAAGGGTAACTACATCTTGCATTGTCTGGCGCGTAGAGTATCAAGGGTCGCCTTATCTGTCGCATACAGCAAGGCAGATAATCAAAAACATGCCACTATTAGCACCTTCCTTCTTTTCCATCTGCTTCTCTTACTCCCATCCTGACCCCATTACTAACCTTCCTGCTATAATTCCCAGCTTAATTGACAGCAACCGAAGTGCTACTGGAGTAAAACCATCTGCAGCCACCATCCCACAGCACCTATCGGACGCCTATCGGCAAAAGTTTCTTATAAGGCCAAGCTGTCCCGTCTCCATGGCGACATTCAACGTCCGCTCTCTAAGACAAACAGGTCAGCAGGCTGCACTCGCACGCACCTTGGACACACTGGGTGTTGATGTGTGTTGTGTGTCCGAAACTAGGATTAATGACCCTAACGGGGTTATTGAATTGACTGCACCCGGCTTATCCTCTCGTTATTGGTTGCATGCATCCGGAGACGCGGATTCAGCAACCACGGGCCAAGCTGGTGTAGGTATCATTCTCAGCTCCAAGGCTGAGCCATCGGTGGTTGATTGGATTCCGTTGAACAGCCGCTTGTGTGCAGCCCGTTTGACAACATCAACTAAGGTTGATTCACGAAGTAATGCACGAGGCCGTTTGTTTGTGGTTCCCGCTTACGCTCCCACCGACTGTAGTCCTAAGGTTACCAAGGACATATTCAATCACGAACTGAACACGCTACTACGCAGTTCTACTAGTTCAGATATCATAGTACTTTCAGTAGGAGTTCCGAGCTCTTCAGAATCCCAGCTCAGAGGTAACTATGGGCTTAACTCCGAACGGACTGACAACGGTGAGCATCTGTTAAAACTGTGTGCGGAGCACCAGTTGTTTTTTAGTACGCAAAGCCAGGCTGCTTTACGCATAGTCATCCATTTTCTAGTTTTGCTCCTCACGAAAGAAACTGTTTTAGGCCCATTGCGAACCCTTGTCTCTGAGGTATCCGTAACCAGTTGATTGCACTTGCTGACAAATTCAAGACAAGCAACTTGCTGGTGGCCTTCAGAAAGGAACGACCAGGTTGTGGCACTGACGAGCTGGACTAAGCGGTCGTAGCGCGTAATGGTGGTGTGCGCCATCTCAGAGTTCTGGTGGCGACATTACGCCTGGCAGATGAAGTCGAAACTGATGAATGCATGATCACTGTGCCCCAAAGAGCAAAGAAGGTACATTACCTGTTCTGAAACGAGTTGACGTAATGACGTGATTGTAAAGTCGAACACTGGTTATAAGCTCTTACAGATCTGCTTTGAATGGCTCTCCGATTGTAGCAGGAGTTTCCTAACTGTGTACTTTGAAATCACCCATGATAAGGATGTGAGTGTGTTTCCGTTTTAGGCTGTATCTTTGATATGTCGCAAGTTGGCAGTCCATTTCCGGTGTAAAGTTTGGGGGACGCT